GCGTTGGGCATGGTGCGGGGATGCTGGGGGTGCGACATGGGCTGTGGTGGGCTCGCAGCTCCTGGGGGTGCTAGGGCAGCAGCTCACCCAGCGCCGGGCACTTCGGCACACGGTACAGTGCTGGGCACTTCGGCATGTGGCATGGCACGGCACTGGGCACTTCGGCACGCCATGGCACTTGGCACTTCTGCACGCGGCACGGCATAGCGGCTGGGCACTGGTGGCTGTGCCACGCGTTGCTAAGCAGTTCAGGCACTCGCCGTTCTCCCGCTTGGTTTCCCCAGCCCTGCCTTCCTCCGGTGGTAGAAATACATTTTAATATCCGAGTAGCCGCAAAACATTCTGTATTATGCTATTATCTCCGGGGGGGCGGTGAAGATTGCAAAGCACTTGGCGTTTAACACCCACATATGGCTAACACCATGGGCTGTGTGCTGATAAAGATGGGGTAATTAAAGTTTATTTTTTTATAGACTAATCTCCCAAGCATGTATTTATGAGCCTGATTTAGAAACATCATATTACCAAGAGCGCGGGATATTTGTGTTGCTCATAAATCCATATGTGTTCGAACATACCTTTTTTTTTTGTGTGTTTTTTTTTCTTAAATTTAGGCAGCACAGCCAATATTGAAAAGAAATGAGCTCGGAGTTTGTTGGGCTTTTTTTTCCCCCCTTGTCCTTTAGGTGGGCAAGGAAAAGTGTACAAAGCAGCGAGTAATTAACTGTTTGAGGAAATGATATTTCAGAGGAGACACGGTGCGTTTGGAGGGGCTGTTTGCAGAGTGTTTACACCTGTGGCTTTGAATTTATTTTCATCTTGCAGCAGGTGCAGAATCTTCAGGGGAACGTGGTGCTTGGGGAGCTGTTTGGGAGCTGTCTGCAGAGGGACCCACGTCTTCTGTGGGAGGCTGGGGCCGGGCTGATTGGCACCGGTGTTTAAAGGGGAAAAAAATCCTGGATGGGAAAAGCGGTGGTGGCAGGAGCCCCACTGACCACAGCCCTGGCTGCTCCTCTTGTCTTCCAGTCTAACTAAGGTGCCGTTAATTGGATCACTAGCAGGAGGCATCTCAGGTACGATTCCGCCCCGAAGCAGCGGTTTGCCTTTCCTTTCTACTTCTCTCTCCTTTGCTCTCATGGGCTGTGCGAAGAGGTTATTTCTTGTCACTGGGGAAGAAGTAATTTCTTCTTATTCTTCATCCCCGTCATGTGTCCTGCCTGCTGCTCTGCCTGCTCCTTGGGTCCAGCCTCCCTGGGTCTGTCTCCCCTGAGACCCCCATGGGCCATTGCTTTCCCCCCAGAACAGCCTGGTTGAGCACCCGGGCACCTGCCCACTTGCTTGCAACCATCAAAAACACAACAGAAACATGTTTAATTAAAAGTTTAGAGAGGTCATCTCAATATGCAAAGGATTTATTAGGGTGGAGGAATCTGGAGAGCGAGTTTGGTCTCAGCCATGCCTGGTCACCATCTTTCTCTTGGGCTTTTTGGACCCCACAAGACCCAAAGGAAGACTTGTGTTTGGTGCTGAGGCTCTCGGGGCTCCTGAGTGCCATCAGCCATCCATGAAGGTCTTGCATTTTCCCCACAAACTCCCTCTCTTGGTCAAGGAGGTTGATACCAGCTTGTTTGGTGGACCTGGGTTTGTGAATCTGTACTTTAAACACTCCCTGGAAGCCTAGAGATGACAGTGAGAGCAGG